CTGTAGGGAAATTTTTTGGGCATTTGTTTGTCTGCACTGATGAATTATGATTTTGTAATAAAATAAGTGGCTCAATACCATGTTGTGTATATATGTAGGTTATCAGCCAACTTCTTGGCTTTAGGTGTAATTCGAACATCAAATATTTTGTAAGGGATGATTTTTCTTCCAGTGTACATATATATATATATATTTATGCATTCATAGATGTTCTGTTATCAGATACCTTTCCACTGGGTATGGGGATGTCACAGTTGGTATCAAAGTATGATTCTCGGACATTTTTTACATTGAGGTCTTGGGTTTAGGTTTAGAAAACTAGAAATTTTTTTAGAACTAGAAATAATCTTTGCACCTTAGCAAACAACTTTGTTTTTAAACCTTTGTCCCCTTTTATAGGCAAATATGACTTGGTGGAGACCTTCTGTAGAAAAGGATGCTCAGGATGCTCCAACCTAGGCAGAGTTTATTGAACTGTTTTGAGCAATTCAGGTTATGATAGTTGTTATGGGCCATAACCTCTCACATAATGCTGGCCAGCCACCTCCTACAAGTGATCATTGTCTTGTTAATCATACTATCTCACATAATATCTCAGAATTTAGGAGACTAAACCCTCATCACTTTGATGGTAGACTTGACCCGATGGTCGTCAATGCAAGGATAAGGCAGATACAAAAACTCTCCCCCATCTTTAAGCTTACTAAAGAGCAAAAAGTTTCCCTTACAACCTTCATGTTCATCGGAGAGGCCGAACATTGTTGGTGTTTCAAGAAAGATGCCTTACCTACTCTGATTACTTAGGATCAGTTCATAGATGTCTTTCTTAAGATTTACTTCTTAGTTTATATCCGGGAGTAGAAAGAAGAAGAAATTTAAGATCTATAATAGGAAAACATGACCGTAAGCCAATGTGCCACCAAGTTTATCTACTTGTCCCAATTTACCTCGGAGATCGTAGCCACAAAAATTAGATAGGTCTGAAAATTTCTTAAGGGGTCTTAGGGAAGACATCTTTGATCGAATGGCTATGATAAAGCCAAATACTTATGTAGAGGTCTTAAAACATACCCAGTTGATCGAGGAACTCCTTTTTGCGTGTTACCAGCACATCAACAATGTTCGAGCTCAACAACAATAAAAGGGGAAGTTGATAGGCTAGGATAATACTAATAAGCAATCTAGAATAGCTCCTGTTGTAGTTGCTGCCCCACCTCCACCTGCTGATAATCCTACCTAGCCTACCCAGACATGCCAACATTCCAAAAAAAGTCATAGTAATTAGCTCTTTTACTGTAACACCTCGCTCACCATCACACTAAATTTGTATCTAGAAATTCCTATTTATTCAGGCCTTAAAGACACTTGAACTTATTTAAATTTATCTTGTAGTTTTATATCGTATTTCATAATTTAAATTCGTGATTTTAATTTTATACTGATTTCGTTATTTTATTTTAATTTATTTTTGTTATTTTTATTAAAATAATTTTCTGGAGAAAAGACAGGAAAAAGGGGCGGAATCATATGAGAAAGTGCTTGCTGGAAAGACCCGCCTGCACATGCATCATGCGTTGTGTGCGTGTGTGTGCATGCGGCCAGCACGGGACGTGTGCACTGTGCACACGTCCCGTCCGCATGGGGCATGAAGCCGGTCTGTGCGCGGGTCTCATCGCGCACAAACAGGCCAGTTCGAGCACATCACAATGCGCGCAGATAGGGCCACGTGTCGTGCGCCCTATGTAAGCTTCATCCACACAGTATGCCTACGTGGATAGGCCTGCGTGTGGCCAACTTTGGGAGGCACACTACTGCCTTCGGCATAGTGTGCCACCTTGGACAGTGTGCCATCATCGCCTTAGGTGGAGAGCCACCGCCGGTTAGAGGATTTTTCTTTCGTTTTTCACACTGCCGTCGTGTCGTGTCACATCACTCTTATTCCACTCAAATTTCTCTCTCTTCACTAGATTTTACCACTTAGTACAAATCCAACAGTCTCTATTTTCTATAAATAGGGATCCATTTCTTCCATTTTCCTCATCACTTCCATTTCATTCTTTCATCCTTTAAGAGCTTAGAGAGAGATGAATTGATCTAGAGAGAGAAAGAGAGGAGAAAAAGAAGAAAAGTGTAGAAAAACTTCAAGGTTTTGGTAAGCAATTTAATATTTCCTTAAACATTTTAAGGAGTATTTTTAGAAATTAAAATTTATGGAATTTAAGATTTATTATTAGCATGATTTATGTTTAATTGTTCCAATAAAGTGAATTATTCTTGATTAAGCATGCCATGAGATTTTATAAGCACTTGATAATTGCATGTGATTTAATTAACATGATTTTAGTGAAAAAATTTTGAATATGAAAAGGGGAATGAGCTTGAAATGGTCTGAAAAAAATAAATGTATTGACATGCATAATGCATCAAGTGTCTCATTAGGCTTTTTATCTCTAAGGAATTTTTATTTTCCCATTTCTTATATAGTCTGAAAAGACGTGAAAGGACCAATCCTTGTGGATAGCAGCGTACCCTCTGACAAGAGTGATGATGCAAATATCTGTTAAAGGTCACATGCGACTAGAATAACTTAACCTTGTTGGCACAGTTGATGGGTTCTAGCTGGAGGATGCTTGAAATAATTCAAGGTCTCCAATTAAACTATTACGTCGAAGATGCGTACCTTAACTAAATTCAGATCCAACTAACATTCATCATGAGAATTTGAGAAGTCTAGTTTACGAATCCTAAAATTTTAAGACATAGGCAAGTTTGCATAAGAAGAACCTTGTGACTTCAGAATAAACGATGATGGAATTTTCAGGTCTCGAGATTGAATATGGGTATCTACCAACCTCGAGGTCAAGTTGGATGTTTTGAAAGAAGTCC